TTTTTTTTTTTTAAATGCTATAGTTGTTACAAGCACTTACATATTATTTCAACTTAGTATCATCAAACTTCATGGAAAGTTGTTAGGTTAGTGCTGTTTTTAAGACAAATTGTGAGATCATTGAAGCAGACATTCATGATTTGTGGTTCTTTTTCTCTCCTTTCCACTAAGAAAAAGCTCTCCAAAACAGAGGAAGCCAATGGTTTTCTTTTCACCATTTTATAGAGAGATCAGCAAGATAGAATATAGCAGTAGTCAACAATAGCAGGAAAGAAAAAAGAAAAAAGGTTTTCTACGTGATGGTTTGTTAGGTATTGAGTCTAATTCTTTTTAATTTTCGCACAAAATCCCTGTTCAAAATAAAACAACGAGATAGAAAAATATAAAAAGATGGAGAAATATTTACGGACATTTAAGGCCACTTTCAAGGAAATTGCCTTCCTTTCAAGGCCACTTTCTTCCAAGTTTCAAAAGGGAACTCACTGTTTTGCTTAGGAAACCAATCCATTCCCTATATTTTATTTCCTTTTAAAATTGATTGCATGATTTTGGTACTTTTTTTGGCAATTCTCCCAACAGGGTTAAGGTTCAAAGTTGGGCATAAATGAGGAAAAGCTCTATGTTCCTGATTCCTGTGTAAATGAAACCTCCGAAACCACACAAAAATCCTCAGTTAAAGTAAGATTCCGACTCGTCACCTTTTGAGTGAGATTTTGCAAAGAATTGTTCTTCGGATTGCACAATATGACGAAGTTTTGAGTCGTGATTTGGGTTTTAGCTAGTTATCCATGGTGTTTCCTTCTCAAAGATGAAGCTTATCATGCCCCATAATCTAATCAGTCAAATCTTATCTATTATATTGTTTAATCATGTCCAGTAATATATACTATATATATATGCTACGACATGTATTAATGGTTTGGGACTGATCTCCTAATCATAATAGACGAGAGAAATGGTTTTGCCACCTCACTGGTATTTTAAACCCCACCAAAGAGATGGCAAGATGCAAGATATCTCCCACCTACCATTGACAGGAGATTAGTCCTGGTAATGATTTAGTGAGACACTCAAACATGGGTGGAGATGCTCTCTGATTTCCCCTCATTATTACAGGATTTTTTATCAAATTGAAATCTAATAGAAAGAACAGTAAAAGTAACAAACTTATGTAGGATTCTTACATAT